TATCCTGCCTCAACGGGAAGAGGGAAAACAAGCACAGAAACTGCAACAACTATCGTCCAGATTGTTAAAGAAGAGGAAGATCGAGTTATGGATATTGTTAGTAAATGCGTTTATTTTGTTCATCGAAGATGGGTTTTATTTGTTCTCGTTCTTGTTCTTTTATATTCTCTCTTTCTTCGTACTAGACTCGTTTCTATTCTTCCGTGTACATTTCAATTTGTAAAGCATCAATTCTTATTCCAAACATAATTGACTCATCGTGTAATCTTGCCCTTGTTATATTTAATACCTCTAATGAGAACCGAACAAGTACACCTTTAATAAAAAAAATATCGACTTAGATTTAGATATGAAAAATAAGAATGAACGTCACACCCTATAAAAAATGAAATTTATCTTAGAATCAAAATGGAATGAATTATCACTAAAGGCTCGTTTTTTATTATTTTTTATTCTCTCAAAATCAAAATAATAATATTATTATTTTATTATTATTTACCACCTTTCTTTAAACTTATTCTATTCTAGATTTTCTTGATTAATATCACATCCCACAAAGTATCGATGCTTTGTGTTCATCATGGCCCTACCAATTAGGATGGGTGGAAACAATATATATTTCTTTGTCTTCATCTTCTTCCTCCTTCGTCTCGGTCTTGATGGTTAAGTGCGTCTTCTCGATCAGCACCAGTCTCTGTTCTTGTCCTCATTCCTAAGCACCATCTTGCGTCCTCGTCCTTTTTGTCCTTGTTCTTAAGCATGACATTAGATAGCAAGCTTTAAGTGTTGTCGTTTATCTAAAAGTTGTTAGCATGTTGAAGAGAAGCGCGTCACAGATGAGAAATTCAAAGTGTAATAGAATTTTGGTGTCTGTCAATGTGGTTGGGAGCACTGGACCCATTAGGTTCGTGGCAAATAAAGATGATTTGGTTTGTGAGGTGATGAAGACCACTCTTACATCATATGCTCGCCTAGCTCGTTTACCAAATCTTGGAACTAATGTTGATAACTTCGTTCTCTATTGCGTTAACGATGGAATGGATGGTACGTCTCATAAACCCTTTCTTTAAATTCTTAGTCACCAAAGAACTTATTTTTTTTTTTCCGTTCTTCAGCTCTAAGCCTTAGGGAAGCCATAGGAGCAAAGCAAGTTAGGCACTTTTTGCTATGTAAGAAGGAAGGGACTTCACGTGCATCGTTGCCTAAAGAAAATGGGAAAAATAATTGGAAGACATGGCTGACCAAGTCTTTACTTACAACGTACAATATTATTGCACGTTGAGAAATTTGTCTGATGAAAAACAGTGTCGATCGAGGTGTGTTATAAATAATATAATTCGATCGTGTTTTTCGTTATAGAAGATGAAGTCATCTAATAAATAAAGTTTCTCAATCTAGCTTTATGATTCTAATTAACTAAGAATACACCGTATAAGTGTTCACCACTGGTAGATATTGCCTGTTTTAATTCATTATGTATCGTTGGCAGCCTCACAGTTTTAAAACATGTATGCTAGGTAGAAGTTCCAACAGCCTTATAGTGAATGTTCGTTACATATCACTGACGGCCTCACGATTTTAGAACGCGTCTACTACGGAGGCAACTTCACGATTTTAAGTAGTCACATCTGCTAGAGAGAGATTTCTATATTCTGTTCCCCTCTTCAACTATCTCTCCTTAGAAGTCAAGCGTCCTGGCTTGTACACCGCTCGATGTCTGACTCTAATATCATTTGTAATGGTTCAAGTTTACCGCTAGTCGATATTGTCCTCTTTAAGCTTTACTTCCGAGTTTTCTTTAAAATTTTAAATTTTAAAATGATCTGCTGTGAATAAGTTTCGAACATTATACCGTCCTTATTTATATGGCAGAGAAAATTTGTATGACATAAGAAAACCATTAAAAAAAAAAATTACAATACTCACTCCCACCACTCTCTCCCTATTTATCTACATCTTGTCAAAGGATTCCGGTTTGGATAAACTCGGCCGAGCCAACTCAGCCCACGCCGAGGTGGCGATAAGCGGCCGAGTGTGCCAACCCAACGTCAAACTTCCATTATTCTCTTCAACTCTGTAACCATTTCCGCCGCCGAACAGAGCCAACAGAGTACTCGCCTGCTTGAACGCGTTTGAACCCAAAGGAACCATCTCGAACCCACTCGAACCCAACCGGCTCTGCCACTGCGCCAATGTCTCGTGCCGCTCGACCCGGTCGGAACCTTCACCCGCCACCACGTTCAAGATTTGCCTACCCAAATACTCCTCCGACCCCGCCACATCCTCCTCCCCTGCCAGCGACCCTTCCAACGAATCGAACAAGCTCGAGTAATAGTGTAACGCTTCTGTGAATCGGCCGGTGAACGATGGTCCGTTGTGGTCAGCGACCGGCTCCACGACGGTGACGATTTTGGGGTTAAGTTCTTTGATTGTTTTTAGAACTTTCTCGATCGCGCCCGGATGCGCCAGTAGCCGATGGAGCTCGAAAATAGAGTTCACGATGACGGTTTCTGATTCTAAATTGAGTAAGGACGGATCGAGCTCGGCTAAATCGTTGCAGAAATACCCACGGAATTCGAATTCCACACCGATCGTATCCGCGAATTGAGCCAATTTCAAAACCACTTCCTGTAATCCGTCGCTAGAATTTTCCCCCGGCGGGGGGCCGATTCCGGTGAGATAAAACGCTGGCGGCCCTCCGGGACGCAGCGCGAGGGCTTGAATCAACGCCGGCCATTGGAGGCCTTGCTGAAGGCTAAAATCAACGACGTGGACGGTTGCGGCGGTGCCAACAGATTCGAGAATCGCTTGATTGGCCGTGAAATGGGCGAATTTCATATACGGGCAAGACACGTAGAAATTCATTTGAAGAAGATCGGTGTATGAAGATGTATATTCGAAGGGCTTTTGTGGGTGCAATCCGTAAATGTGGTGAGTAAGGGCTTGTGCAAAATAACCGGCGACTTTCCTCATCGCGCCGCCTTGGGCCTCGACGAGGATTCTGATGTGTTTCAGTAATGTATCGGCGAGGTTTAGGTTGTTGATATCGATGGCCTCGGCGCAGGCGAGGAGGGTATGGACTAGATGGACGCCATTGTCGGTAGAATCCGTCAGAACCACCGTGCGCGACGGCTCCGACGACGATGAAGAAGAAGAAGCAGCAGTAACAAGAACCGATTCGGACTCTGATTTCTTAAATCGCTTCCTCGGTGTATTGGAATCGATTTGGGGGAAAACAGCAACGCCCGGAATTGCTCGGAGATCGTACTCAGAGTCGTCGGCGAATGCCGCGATGGCGGAGGTTGATTCGGCTTCGGCGAAAACAGAGTCATCGGTGTTGAGTTCAGCGAGCATGCTTTGAACCCAAGAAGACACATCGGAGGGATTGTAATGGACGGTGTTGGAAGAAAGATGAGAAATTCCGTCTTCTTCCGACAAACCCATTACCATTTCGAGCTGTTTGAGTTTCAGAGCGACGTCGGCCATGTCCGACAACCGGACATTGTAGCCTAGAGCTGCTAGGAGCTCGTCCTCGTCGTCGTCCTCCTCCGGCCATATCTTGGCCTTGCCGGCCGGATTTGGTGACTGGTAAGAGTGATCTCGCTTCATTGGATGGGATTTCTTACTCCATTCCGGGAATTTCCTTCGAAGCTCCAACTTAAATCGACGTCTGTGCTTCTAAATCATTATCCCAACTTTAAAACCTCGTAAAATGCAATGGAAGCCACGTGGCAAGAAAACATTACAAGGGGTCAACTTGCTCTTGCAGTGTCCACTCAAAAGGCCACGTGTTCTACAGAACCAAGCTTAGTGGCTTTTCGATTACACCACGTGGCTGAAGCGTGGCTTTCACGATCCTTTTTATTCGGGGATATTAACCCACGCGCCTATGCAAATACCCAGGTGGGCCCCATTTACAACACGACATTTTTTTAATATTTAAACCAACGCGTGGACCCACGAACCAATTTTTCGCACTAAAACATTGTGTACGTGTACATATATAACGCCACGTCCTTTGTTAAGGCCGTTACGTCCACGTCATCTTTCTTTATTCCCATCATCCACGTGAACGGAATTTTCCAAGTCTACAGATTTTTATAAAAAAATTTGTAAAGACAAACCCAAAAAAAATATTTAAATTAACATAAAACATTTTATTATTTGTTAAAGTTCAAGTCTACCGTTGTTAACACTATTTTATTGATATTTTTTATTAAATTTTATTAAATTTTTCTATAATATAATAGAAATATCCAACTTGTGAAACTCAAGTAAATGAGAGATACATGGATTAATTAAGATCACGTCTAAATGAGAGTTATCCTAATGATAAGGTGACTGACAAATGTTTAAAAAGAATTGAAAGTTATTATTTATACTAATAAGATGTACCTTCTTTTCGGTGCCTCGATCAGTTACAGGAACTTCATAGTTAAGTGTGCTTTACTTCGAGCAACTCTATGTTAGGCAACCTTCTCTTCTAGAAATTGGAGATACATGTGAGTAAGAACAAGAACAAAACATGCTACAAGGATTCGACCTATAATATGAAATTCCAATTTTACCCTTCCTTAATATTGTCGGGTCCCATGATGCAGAAAAGGTAGATGCCCTTTTGACTTCACAGAATGAAACTCACGATCAACTCGTTCACTTTGACTTTAGTTCAATGCTATGGAACTGCTAAACGAATCTAAAGTTAGGGATCATATTTTTTCATCGTTGTCCACACGTCACTTTACGTGAGACCTAACATCAATTGTAGAGTGAAACGAAGCATTCTTTCTATAGATGTAAAAATTTCTCGACGCGTTTTAAAATTAAGATGCTAATGGTAATACGTAATAAATTAAAGCGAACAATATCTACTAGCAGTAGATTTAGGCTATTACAAGTAATATGAGAGTCAGGTACCGAGCAATATGCAAATAAAGACTCTGGCCCCCAAGAGAATAGATTATAAGATCTCACATAAGTTAGAAAGGGTACGTTTTAAAACAATGAGACGGCTATACATATCAAGTTAAAACAGACAATATCTACTAGTAGATGAGTCGTGTTTGAAGTTTTAAGGTTTGAAAACACTAAAGAAAGGATGATTAGCAGAGGTCAACTTGAGCCCACACAAACCACTACACCACATTTTACATCAATTACAACTACAACAGCTCACACAGCAACAGAGAGAGCGAGTCATGGCACTACCAATTAACACTGCACTGCACACTGCAACAATCTATCTATTACAGAACGCTAACTTCAGTCAATAGAGCCTTCACCTTAGGCGGTCGACCTCTGGGCCTCCCGCTCGGTGGTGGCAGAGCTGTTGTGGTCACTGGCTGAGGCAACTTCCTCGGTCGTCCTCTTGGCTTCCCTGTCCCAGATGACACCTTCATCTTCACTGCCTTGGTTGCATTGGGGGGCTCCCTCTGCTCCTTTGGCTTGGGAGGCCTGCCACGCCCCCGCCGCGGAGCAGCCGAGGGATCCCTCTTCATGTAGTTGTTCTTCCAAAACACAAGCTCTCCACTGGCCTTCATCATGTTCAAATGGAGCGTGAGCAAAGATGAGTGCCCAGTTGGTAAGTTCTCATATGTTGATTCAATGTACTTTGATATCGTGGACTTGTTTGAGCCATTGCCACTGTTCAATGCTTCAATAGCCCTTAATATCATCTGCAATATTCATAGCATTTCCATCACAAATGGTGTTTTGATTCATCCTTTTCCTTTCATGATTTGCAGATCTAGAAAGAAACTTGAGAACAGATCTAACATCTACAAATCTTCAAAAAAATTAGCATCAAATCCCTTGTCATTTCAAATCAAATCCAAGAACGAGAGTAGAAATTTCCCCTGTTCATCAAATCATCACAGAACAACAACAAAAAGAATCACGAGAAACTCTGATTCAAGAACAAATCAAGGGGCAAACGCACAGACCCAGAAGCAGATTCAAGAAATTAGAGGTAGTAGGACGAAACCCACGAAGAATTAAGAGAAAAAAATCAACAAAATGAAGAACAAATCATGAATGAACCTGAGGGTAAGGAGGCAGCTCTTCAGTCGCCATTGAAATTTGAAAAACAAAGCTTTTATTTCCCTGAAGCCTACAGAAAGCAGCTGGTAGAGATAGAGAGAGGAACCAAATTGACTGCAAAACTGTTTCGATTTAGAACTGATTTGAAAAAGGGAGTTTTGAGAAATTTCTTCTTTTTATTTTTTTGCAATTTTGATGTCAATTGAGAACAGCTGGAATCTTGAAGTGGATAATGATCGGAGGGTCTGTATTTGGCGATGGAAGTTTTCTGCACGGATTGATGACGTGGTACAATGATTAAAATTACGGTTTTACCCCTAACTATGTAGCTTTCAACATTATGGGAGGATGAGAATCCTTTGGTGACCTTAGCTCGGGCAAAGTACAACCGACAAAGATTTTTGGAATTGACCATTTAAATGTTCTTTCATCATAACTATCAGCATTTGAGGAACCAACCTAAATCATTTTAACATGTTTTATTTTCAAGCGACGGTTAAAAGACATCATCTGCCGTTGCTTTTCTAACATATACCTAGTCGATGTCATTGCATAACACCAAACCTTACTAATGCTGCTGCTTTTCAAATATACATCTGGTCGTCGCTACTGCATAGCATTGAACTTTACTCTTCGAAATATTTTGTTACGGATCACGGATTTCTTACAAAGTGGTGATTCGTAAAGGATAGGCCCATTGGGCTTGAAAGATTCATAGCCCAAATCAAACTTGACGATTGATGAAATTCTCTATGTTACCATTACCTAACAAACATACTTCTTGAAAAATTTCATAAACCCAATCATTTCATCCCCGAAAAAAAGGAAAGAAAATTAATAATTAGGAAAAGAAAAGTCCTTAAAAGCACTCATTGTTTAATTCCCAAATGTGTTTGAGGAAGAAGCATCATTAGAAGAGAGATGGAGTGTTGGGGAGTGGCCAATTTGATAAAAACACAATAAAATCTCATCAAAATAGTTGCAAAAGTGGAGATGAACATGTGTCGGGACGGTGCCCGCTCCACGTGTCGACCTAATTGACCAATTGGGTTCTTGGGATATCCTCCAAAACTTATTGTCTTCTTCTCCTTTTGTGTGTGATCTCCAAAATGCTTTGCTTTATAAAAAGTTAGAAGAAGAATGTAGAAGAAGTACACATGTAATCACCTTGTGTGGTTGTACTTCACATGACTTCTTTCTTTATCTTGTTTTTTCATGCTAGTGGTTTGAATTACTCTAAATTAACCACGAGATCCACGTTGAATCGAGTGATTATCAATATTGATCGAAAAAGGAACGTGCATAACAGTAGCTTATTGAACTATAATTTATGCCTTGTTGATACTAAGATAAGTCAACACTAAAGTCAAGAACGTCAAATTATGGGTAAAAGGAATATCTGGAAAACATTGTATATACCGACTGTAACAACTCAAACCTACCACTAGCAGATATTGGATATTGTCTACTTTGGCTTGCTATGTATCACCGTCAGCCTTATAACTTTAAAATGCATATGCTGGGGAGAGATTTCCACACTCTTATAAGAAATGTTTCATTCATCTCTCCAACCAATGTGGGATCTCACAGACCACTTCTAAACCATAACGATTTTTACAACAATTGTACCCAACAAGCATTTAGACTTTTTTTTAGTTCTAACATGTCAAATGAATTGAACAGTCGACCTCTTACTTGAATGATACATACTTAAACTAGTTGAAGTATGTCCAAACTCTAGATGACTCCCTTATGTGATAGACACGTGTCTGTTGTTCATGATGTTCATGACACTACAAAGGAAGGGAAAAAAGTAAAGAACTAAACGTCATCTATATTCTGTAAACAATCGACACAGAGCCAAAAGGGTCGGTATACAATAATAAAAAAAGGGGATAAAACGTGAATTTGTTCGTGTATTTTACTATGATGGGTGGAGATGATAGAGAAGTCCTAAAAAGAGAGCACTCTAAGAATAAAAGAAAGAGGTGTGTGGATAGAAGGTAAGAGTAGAGGAAAGTGGAGAGGTTTTTTAATCCACAAAATGTGTGGAAAAGTATTGGACATGGATGACTTGGAAAGTGAAGTAAAGATGTGGGGATTGTGTTTGGTGTGCCATTGGGTCAAAGATTTGATCACTACTTTTCTATAAATTATAAATACATATACACATCATAATCTCTTCCCTTCATAATATTATGTCATTTTTATGTATTGCTTACGTCCTTGCCTAGCTTACAAAGTGGGTTTGATATGTGCACGGGTTAATTGTATTTATTTTCGACATAAAGGTTGGAGGTTGAAATCTTCTACTCTACATGTTGTAACGATCAATACCCAGAACTCGGAATTCAAATTCGACACCTGATATCCTCAACATGGTCACGTTACTTACTTCTTGCTTCTAACAGTGAAAACTATTCTCATCTAATATTATCATGATGTGTTTTAGTTCATGGCTATGCTTTATTCCTAATTTTACTATACCATAATTCACCAACTTAATTATCGATATTGATTTTTCAATTTTTTTTTTTTTTTTTTTTGTAACCGTCCAAACCCACCACTAGCAAGATATTGTTATCAGTGAGCTTTCCTTTTTATGCTTCTTATTAAGATTTTAAAACACGTATGTTAGTAAGACGTTTCCATAGTAAGACGTTTCCATACTTTTATAAGGAATGCTTCGTTTTTCCTCTGTAACTGATGTGGGGTCTCACACTTTTGATTATGATAGTTCATGTCGGAGCCATTAAGTATTGAATCTGAATTTGAAACCCGTTTCAAACTAATTGACTTAATTTCTTTCCATTTTTTTTTTCAGTTTTTGAAGAGATTGTAAAGTGTTGGGTTGAATTAAGAAAGATGGAGAAATATGAGGCTTGAAATGGAAGCAAAGGGGAGTGGGGGAGGTGGCGCTTTCTGAAGGTGACAACCTAAGCATGCTCCCTCTGTCTCTCTCCAACTCACTTTACACAAAAACATTCATTAGTGGGTTCACTTTTCATCATCTTATTCCCTCCCATATCGCCTAATTCTTTCCATATCATTCATTATTTAAGAAGTGATAGCGAGTAATGGTATAAAACCGTAGGTAAGGGGGTTCCCATATTCCATTCATTATCCTCACTCTTTTAAAAGAGGAGTTCGTGGGAAACCATGGGAAGGCAGCCATGCTGTGAGAAGGTAGGGTTGAAGAAAGGGCCATGGACAGCTGAGGAAGACAAGAAGCTCATCAACTTCATCCTCTCAAATGGGCAGTGCTGTTGGAGGGCAGTCCCGAAACTTGCCGGCCTCTTGCGATGTGGGAAAAGTTGCAGACTTCGATGGACTAATTACCTAAGACCCGATCTTAAACGAGGCCTTCTCTCTGACTTCGAAGAGAAAATGGTCATTGACCTCCATGCTCAACTTGGAAACAGGTCGGCCTCTTTTCTTTCTCCTCTTCTCTTAACTCTTAACTCAATCTTGAATCTTCCTTACATTTTTGTTTTTAGATGGTCTAAGATTGCTTCCCATCTTCCTGGAAGAACCGACAATGAGATAAAGAATCATTGGAACACTCACATTAAAAAAAAGCTAAGAAAAATGGGCATCGACCCCCAAACTCACAAACCTATCTCCTCTCCAACGGTTCAACTTCAAGCCGATGTAGAGAGATCATCAAACTCATTAATTGTCACTGACCTCGAAGAGGAACAAGCAACAACGTGCATGAATGTCATTGAGCCTCAAGCAATTCTAGATCCTTGTATTCCGTCCTCCTCGTCTTCGTCATCTTCATCTTCGTCTCCTTCAACCTCGAATCCAATTGGGTTTGAAGACCTCAAGCTCCCCGATTTCGATTGGTTATATTGCAACGACACGAGTAATAATGGCAGTGATGTCGGAGTTTGGGAAGATGATTTTAGTAGTTGGGATTTCTTGGTTGGTCATGAGGACGGTGAAGTGCCAATTTTCCAAGAATCTTGGCCTTGTGGATTACTATGAACCCAACAATAACATTATTCTTGTCAAAATGTTTGTGTTTTTTTCTTGTAAAATGATTGGTCCTAAGAGAGAATAAAATATTTTTAAAAAATATATCATGTTTTTTTTTTTTTTTTTTTTTTTTTTTTTTTTTTTTTTTTTTTTTTTTTT